GAAACGCTAGACAGGCTATACCGAGCTAAGTGGTTTACTAAGCTAGACATCGTAGCGGCCTTTAACAACCTACGGATTCGAAAAGGCGATAAATAGCTAACTGCATTTATTACTCGCTATAGGTTGTATTAGTATAAAGTTATACCATTTAGGTTATGCAATAGACCGAGCTCTTTCTAAAGGTATATCAACACTATCCTTCGCGAATTCCTAAACGACTTCGTTACGGTTTATTTAGATAACGTATTAATCTATACCGATAGAATAGAGGAAGAACATGCCTCTTAGGTCGAATAGGTTATTACTAAGCTTATAGAAGCGAACCTGCCTATCGACATTAACAAGAGCGAATTCTATATAAAGCGTGTTAAGTACCTAGGACTGTTCGTTATAACGGAGGGAATCGAGATAGACCCGTCTAAGGTAGAAGCTATATAGCACTAGCAAACCCCTCGCAACGTTAAAGACGTACAAGCTTTCCTTAGATTCGCTAGTTTCTATCGACGCTTTATTTACGCCTTCTCTCGGATTACGGCACTACTTACAGCTCTTACAAAAAAGGATCCTAAGACTAAGAAAGATGTTAGCTAGCAATAGAATGCCTTATATTAGGCCGTATTCGAGAACCTAAAGAAAGCCTTTATTACCGCTCCGGTCCTATCTTACTTTATCCTAGGAGAAGAAATATAGGTTGAAACTAACTCTTTAGACTAGGTTAGTGCGGGTGTCCTATCGCAGATACGAAATAGAATGCTACAACCCGTAGCCTACTTCTCGAAGAAGATACTACTAGTAGAGATTAATTACGACATCTACGACAAAGAACTACTAGCTATTATCAAGTGCTTTAAGGAATAGGAGCCGGAGCTAATAATGCAAGACGTCAAAGTAATCTCCGATTATAAGAACTTAGAATACTTTATATCTATAAAGAAGCTTAATCGGCGCTAAGCCCGTTAGGTAGAGTTCCTTTCGCAGTTTAACTTTAAGATTACATATAGGCCTAGCAAACAAGGAACTAAGCCTAACAGCCTAACGCGAAGGTCTCAAGACATTCTAAATAATATAAACGACCCGAGATTATAGTATTAGGAGCGCACTGTCCTAAAACGCGAGAACCTTAATATCGTTACTAACTTTGCGATATACTACGAGGACAGTAGGTACGAATCGGAAGTACCGACACTAGCACAAACAAATAATAAAGCTGCTAAGGACAATAGCGTAGGAGAAAAGGGGGGTAAAAACTAGTCTAACGATAACCTTCTAGTCGACGACGGCCTAACGGAGGGAGCGCCTAACGATAAGTTACCCGAAGCGATCGATATAGTAACTACAGTTAACTAAATGTTCGAACAAGCGTATAAGCAAGACGCTATAGTTTCCTTTATCGCTAACACCTAGAGGCATCTAGAAGAGGGCACGGTGTCTACCTAGATACGACGTAATAAGATCTCCCTAGCTAATTATAAGGTCGAGGACGGACGACTCTAAGTTAACTAACGCCTCTATATGCCCGCGTTTAAGAACCTTCGTATAAGAATTATCTAGCGGTTTTACGATAGCCCTATAGCAGGATACTAAGGCATTAATCGCATACTAGAACTAATCTATCGGCATAACCTGTTCTAGCTAAAGATAACGGTAGACATCGCGCGTTATCTACGCAACTATAGAGCGTGCCGAAGAGCCAACCCTTCGCGGCTATAGAAGCCTAGTACACTATCTACCTTACCTACGCCGCCTAAGCCTTAGTCTTATATTACTCTCGACTATATCGTAGACCTCCCTCCTAGCTATAACGAGCACTTAGATAAGAATAAGACCTATAGGAACATACTAACCGTTACCGACTATCTAACTAAGCAAGTGCGCCTATTGCTAACTAATAGGCTAGACGCGGAAGACGCGGCTTAGCAAGCTTATTACTTTATCTTTCCTACGTACGGAGTACTATCTATTATCTTTAGCGATAGAGGTACCTAATTCGTTAGCGCCTTCTTTAAGCGATTGTGCGCATATCTTAGCATCGCTTAGAATACTTCTTCCGCTTTCTATCTAGAAACTAATAGACAATCCGAGCGTACTAACTAAACCCTCGAGCAGTACCTGCGGGTCTTCTATACGTAACAATAAGACGACTGGGTTAAATAGCTACCGCTCGCGGAGTTCGCAATAAACAATTATATATCGGCTGCTACCGGATTAACACCCTTCTTTACTAATACAGGGCGGCATCCGAATATAGGTTTCTAGGACCTTCTAGGCCGGCCGCAAGTTACGAAGCAACAGCTAGCTAACATCGAATCCGCTAACGCTATAGCCTAGCGTATACGCGACGTACTCGAAGAGTGCCGTGCCTCTTACGCTCTAACCTAAGCTAAGAACACTAACGCAGCAAATGCTAACCGCGCAGTTGTACCCGACTACAAGCTAGGCGACCTAGTATAGCTAGACGCCCGTAACCTCCGTACGGATCGACTAAGCAAGAAACTAGACTATAAATAGCTAGGGCCCTTTCCTGTCGCGTAACCGATAGGACGGCGCTTATACAAGCTAACCCTTCTAGACTTAATGAAACTAATCTATCTAGTCTTCTATACTAGCATATTGCGCGCTGCCGCTAATAACCCGCTACTAGGGCAGGAACTAGTTAATGCTCCGCCGCCGGTCCTAATTACGCGCGACGGTAAAGAGCCTAAAGAGGAATAGGAGTTAGAGAAGATTTACAGCTCGCGGAAAGCCGAAGATAGTAAGATTTAGTATAAGGTACGATAGAAAGATAGATCGGAGACTAAATAGCGATAGGACGACTTCTTGCCTAGCGCTAAAGAACTAGTAGCCGAGTATTACTAACGATATCTATATAGGCTGAAGCTAGCGGCTGCTAAGGACTTGCTACTAGTTAAGAAGTATAGACTGTCGGTAATATAAAAGGGCTATACTTCTCTACCGTAAACCGCTATAGCGTTAATGCTAGCCTCCGACCCTAAGAAGACTCGCTACCGAGTAGTTGAGACAGAACCTAGCCCTTGCTGCTATAAGAACCTCCCCGCTAGACCTAACGGTGCTAGTAAGTTGCTATATAAACGGACGGTACGAGGTGCTCGTGTTACCTACTAGGAACATAATTACGGACATAGATATAGATATCGGTATAGACATTGAAGAAAGGCCTATTGTACGTTATTAAGACGTCGTAGGAGCTCCTTATTTAAGGAGGGGAATACTATTACGGAGTGACACCTAGGTTAGCTGTTATAGCCTAAGGCATCGAGTCTTAGCGAGGATTCTTCCTCGTACGCTTCCTTCTACCTCTAGATAGGACCGTACGACAACTCGTCTTCTATCTATCCCTAGACCGTCTCGTAACAAATACCTTGTACGTCTACCTATTATAGCAGGGAAGACGCGCTCGTATTATAATTAGTCGAAGGCCTTTAATTCTTATAGATATATATTACTTTATAGTTTATTATATATAGAGATAGCGCAGTTAGAGTTGCATATTGTATTGTTTAGAGGTAAGGTTTGATATAGTTATATAATTAGGTAATTAAGTGTTTAATTTAGCGCGGGCTAAGGAGCTTATTAGACTTGCTAAGTTAGCGGCAATAGAGGTCGTAGACTATAGACAGGCTACGAGGGCGCGGCCTTTAGAAGGGAAGCGTATATTAGGGCTAAAGAGGCTATACGTAATTGGCATATAACTAGGCTAAGTAAAGCTAGGGTCTTAGTGCCTTAGGCAGGGCTTGGCGCTTAGTAATAGGCTAACTTGCCTGCCTTCCTCCCTCTCCTCTTAGCTCCTTATCGAATACTACTCGTACCTACTACTACCCTATCTACCTGCTAATATACCCTTCTTACAAGTAACAAGCTAACCCTCGTAGTACTTACTATTCTTCAAGCCTATAGATAGCTAGGCTTCTAGCTTCTACGACCCTCTAGTTAATTACTCGCAGCTATTAGAAGGCTAGTAATAGCTAGAGACCTATAGTAACTATATAGGTGCAGAAGCATATAGATAAGCGCTTAACCGGCTACGCTTCGGTTAAGCTTAATTAAGTATATCTATAGCAAGAATTAGTCTATATATCAGTCTATCTATATGCCTTTATCTACAGTCTTTACAAGCTAGTATAGTGCTAATAAGCCCTTCTAATAACCGTAACCTTCCTCTTCTAGTTAGCGGTCTTTAGCCCTATATTATTAACTACTAACTTAACGATAACAACGTTATTAATAGCGTTAGCAACATTAGTAACGTTAGTCGTTACTAACAATCTAACACCCCTAATAGGAAGGTAAGGTAGGGAGAGAACTTAAAGGTTTTTTAGGTTTAGGGAAGCTAGATAGGTTTGCGGTAAGTTATATAGATTAATCTAAAACTTAGGAAGTCTGTTTAAGTTCTATCTAGCTAGGCTTTCTTTTACTATAGTTAGTAGTAATAAGAGATACTTTTCGGATTAGACTCGGACTTAGAGGGAGTATACTAGATCGTATATATAGGAGAGAGATAGGAAGGGAGAGAGAGAGGGAGAAAGAGAGGGAGAAAGAGAGAGTATACTTTCGGATTACTTATAAAAACTTCTATTAGTAAGGCTATAATACGGGTTAGGTAAGTAGGTAGATAGTATAACTATAGTCTAGAGTATATAGTATTCGATAAGGTCTATTAAGGAGAGAGAGGAAGGTTAGGAAGTTAGGCTAACGCTAAGCGCTAAGCCCTACCTAAGGCACTAAGATACTAGCTTTACTTAGCCGGTTATATACCTTTTTATATTCCCTCTAATAGAGGTATAGAGAAGTTTCTTAAAGATGTTCTTAAGTAGGAGATATTCCTAAGCAGATAGTATTCTTAAGTAGATAATTTTGTTAAGGAGATATTTAATTTGTAGGCGATAACCGGAAATTCTAGCTAGGATAATGTTCTCTAGAAATCGAGTCTACTCTATATATTTAGCATTCTACTAAGCGCGCAAGTCCTCTCTTTGAATAGCCTATACTCCCTCTAACCACTACCCAGCTCATGCCCGAAGAGTGCACTCCCGTGATTTCTAGATTAGGAGAGTCCTTGATCTTGTTCAAGACATTGCCTGCTCTGAGATGTTGGAACGTATCGGAAGGGATATTTCGCTCGCTATGGCTCTCCGTGAGGGTGTTCTGAAGTTCGCTGATCTTGGATCGGACGGGTGCCGCATGAAGGCCGTCACTCAAGTCAACATGTCGTGTTATCGTGGAGAGTCTTTGGACTGACGCAAGTTCGGAGAAATGCCGTCGAAGTATGGCTACGCTTTGAAAGCGTGCAGGGAGTGGGGATTGCAATTCTTCCCTGAAGGTGAAGCGCGCTGGATCGGTTATGTTGTTCCTTCGGCCTGATGTCAATGTGCTCTGTCTGCTGCTGTGCCATCCCTCATGATTCCACCTTTCGAAGCTAGTGATGTTCGATTCGAGGGGGTCAGGCTGCGTAAAGCTGGGCTTATGGATTTGCTTCAGGGTGATGGTGTGGACTTGCGGTAATGGTCGATGTCCTTCAGTCGGAGATGAGACGTTCCAAAGAGCGCGCTGTCGAGCATATACATGTCAAGCTGAAAGTTTCCAGAACATTACAGATCGTCATTGTTAGCAGCAGAGACTACCAATGCTGTTTAATGGAACGTGAATGTCGTGAAAGCCCATGAAGCAGCGGACCTCTGTTGAAGCTGAAGCTGAAGGCGAAGCCTATGATCCGGAAAAGCTCAAGCCTGACATTGCCCAGCAATACTCAAGCATGCCAGCGTTGCCAAACAGACGATCCTCCGCTAAGTCCTGCTCTTCGCTCTGTCTCCGCTGTTCCTCGAAGATGGACGATGACACATTGTTCCCTGCACGGAGCTTCATCTCCTCCGTCCCCTCTGCCTCCTCCACGAACGCCACCCTCTTCCCAGACTGCTGGTCCTGCAATAGCAGCTGACAATAGGACAGTAGGACAATAGGAGCAGCCTCCAAAATGCACCGAAAACCAGGGACAAAGGCTCCAAAAGGCATGTGATGCTCGGCGACTCCCGTGGGTCTGACAGGCAGCAACCCAAGATTCGAATGTGAAGCTCATTTGTATGGAGCTCCAGGCCAACTGAAGCTCACTGTCGAACAGCTCAACGGCACGTGCACAAACAGCGGTGGCATCGTTTCGCCGCACCGGTGCGCGCAGACACAAAAAGCCGCTGCTCTTCCTTTCGTGACTCTTTCTTTTTCTTTCCACACACATTCGACAACGCGCTCCCACACCACCACAGACTTCCACCAACACTTCATCAACACACATCCCATACCACAGCAACCCATCATCAACACCATACCAGCCGCCGCCATGGGCAAGTACAACTTCAAGCTCGCCAAGCAGGTGCTCACCGACGGCGAGAAAGACCGCATCCTCGCCATCTACCTCAACACGAACGACGGCGTGGTAAGCAGTCGCTCCGATCTCCCCATCAGTGCCACGCACTCCAGCTCACAGACCGACTGCTCTTCCACCCTCGCTGCCGCAGAGTTACTGACATCTTCCCCTCTACAGATCGACTGGGCTACCGCCACCAGCGACTTCGGCGCCGCCTCCGCCGAGTCCATGAAGGTGTCCCTCCGCAACACCATGAAGAAGCTCGACAAGAGCGCTGTCGGCGAAGCCCCAGAGAGCGAGGATCCGTAAGTCGCCTCCGCCATCTCGAGCCCTTTTCAGCATACTGACATCCTCCAGACCTGCCGAGACCGCCACCAAGGGCAAGAAGCGCAAGGCCGCTCCCGCGGAGGGAGAGGAGACCAAGGGCAAGAAGCGCGGCCGCAAGGCCAAGAAGGAGGTCGCTGCTGAGGAGAGCGCCGAGGTGAAGGAGGAGACCGAGTAGAGAGATCCCTCACATGCATGTACCATGACTCCAACCAGAGAGTAGCCTCACGGCTACTAGAGTCTTTCTCCAGATACCCTCCGAATTTTGACTGTTGCCGGAGCTGTTTCTTCCCTCTTCCCACGTGAACGTGTCGTAAGCTGTTAGTTGTCTCACCCTCGTAGGCTAATTTGCCTAGTTGCTTTAGTGTTAATGCCCCTAGCGATGCTTATAGTGTCGATTCTCGACCGCCCTCTGCTTCGACATTCTGCGGAGCTGTTTCTTTATTCTTACCACGTAAGCCTTTCGTTATCTCACCCTCGCAGGCTGGTTTTCCCAATTGCTTCAGTGTCAATGCTCAGTCGACGCTTACGGTGTCGTTTGTCAACTGCCCTCTGCTTCTGCCCTCTGCGGAGTTGGCTTTTCCTTCTTCCCACGTGAAGGTCTCGTAAGCTGTTCATGGTCTCGCTTTAGTAGGCTGATTTGCCTAGTACCTTCGTTGCAAATGCTCAGTCGACGCTCATAGAGTCGTTTCTCGAGGGCCCTCTGCTTCAACATTCCGCGGAGCTATTTCTTCCTTCTCCCCACGGAAATTTCTCCTAAGCCGTTCCATTTCTCACCTTTGCCGGCCAATCTGGGCATTCCTTCAGTGTCAATGCTTAGTCGACGCCCATAGAGTCGTTTCCCGGCTGACCTCTGCTTTAACCTTCTGCGGAGTTGGGTTTCCTTGTTCCTACGTAAACCTCTCGTAAACAGTTCGTTATCTTACCCTCATAGGCTGATTGCTCAGAGAACGAAGAGACCTCATGCGAGATCTCGAAGTCAACATGCTCCACCTAGCGCCCAACGAGATGCTCAACGTAGATCCAATTGCAATGAGGAATTCCAGACGACGACGACATCGCGCGGGATCCCAAAAAGGTCAAGAATTCCACGAAGAAGTTGCAATCCGAGAGCAACCAGGCACTGTAGGAAATCATCCAGCGCCAGTTCCTCGCCCGTCACGACCGGGAAGCCGTGCGAGTCGCCTTCGTCAAGCGGTGGTACTGGGTGAGACAACAGGTCGTTGACGACCAAGATTTGCCTAGTTCCTTGGTTGTAAATGCTCGTCCGAAGCCCACGGCGTCGTTTCTCGACATACCTAGGAATGAATCTTGTTCGGAGCGTGTCTCGCCCTCGTCGGCCAATCTGGCATTGCTTTAGCATCAAAAAAATCAGTCGACGCTCGTAGAGTCGTTCCTCGACTGCCCTCTGCTTCGACCTTTTCTGGAGCTGTTTCTCCTTCGTTCCACGTGACACTTTCTTAGACTCTTCGTTTTTCTCACCCTCGCTAGCCAATCTGGGCATTGCTTCAAATCTCAATACTTGAGACAATGGATTGCATGCCACCGACAGGCACCCGCCTGTCCGACTTCAAATTGGGAATGATGTACCGCAAGGTTGACGACACGAACATCGGCTTGAAGGACGTGGGAAAGTGGTACACCTGCTCCGTCGAAGCCCAGGGATACCCACGCTCTGAGCGCAAGCCAATCGGTCCGCCATACCCATACCACGAGCAGCATCCGGACGGCACGCACAAGACCACTCGACGCTTGTAGGCTCGCTTCTCGAGAGAGACCCACATATCGACCTCGCACAGAGCGTGTACTAGATCCGTTCTGTGTAAGCCTCCTGTTGTTTTACCCTTACAGGCCAATTTGTGAAGTTGCTTCGATGCCACGCGACTTTCGATGCTCGTGGCTTCTTTTCTCGACTGGTGTATACTTCGAACAGCTTCGGCATGTGTATCAGGTACTTTCATGTGAGACCTCTGTTGTTCTATCGTCATCGGCCAATCTGCAAAGCCGCTTGCGTGGTACTGCCCCTTTCTACGCTCATAGTCTCCGTGTTCGATTGATCTATGCATCAATATTGCTCTGAGAGTGTGGCAGGTGCTTCTCACGTAGGCGTTCTATCGTTTGACCCTTATGCTCCGATTGGTGAAGTTGCTTCAGTGTTGATGCTGGTCTTGATGCTCGTGGTTTCCTTTCTGGAGCGACTCATACGGCGATCTTGATCGGGGAGACATTAGGTACTCCTTATGCGCACTGTCTTCTTATGCCCTTTCAGGCCAATTTATGAAGATGCTTCCGTGTTCACGCCTAATTCGACGCTCACAGTTTTGTTCTTCGAGTGACCTCTGCATTGACTTGCCCAGAGAGTACCTGGACCAATCTGTGCAGTTGCTTCAGCTCCAATGGCCCTTTGGACGCTCACGGTTTCGTTCTTCGAGTGACCTCTGCATTGACTTGCCCGGAGAGTAACCAGGCTGCTTCAGTGCAGACCGCTTCCGTTTCAACAACCCCTTCCACTCTCGTAATTTCGTCTCTCGGCTTACCCCTACTAGAACAATGCTCCCGTAACGAATGCGTATTCGATGCTTCCAGACTCGGTTTACTGTTGAAAATTCGATTGGCATTCGCCGGAGCTCTTGCTTTTGGTTCGTTTCCAGTGTGCCCTGTACATTAGCCTTCGCCGGAACCTATTTCGAAGAGCCAGTTTTGAGAGCTTTATTCCGTAATAATGTTTGCTCGGCGCCATTAACCTCGGTTCCTGAGCGACCTATGGATCGGCCTTCGCTAGAGCCAGTTCAGGAGTAACTTATTCTATTGCACGGTGGTATCGTCTTCGAGAATTCGCTTCTGTGATGATGCTTCTCCGACGCTCCCACGGATGTCGCTCAGATGGTATAGAACTCCGCCTGTCAGGCAGCTGTTTAATGAGAAACCTGTCCTCTCTTGCTGTTTCAGCGGATTCGCGGGATCGCTGCTCAGTGGGAATCCCTGCTTGAGTCTCTTGCGACTTGGTTCATCATGGAGCTACTCGAAGTTGGTGCCATTCCGGTTGCATAGATACGGCGGGTTCTAAGATCAGCTTCTACGATTATGCCGACTCGAGGATGCTCCATTCGTTGCTTGACGATAAGTTCCAGAGCTTCTCGAACATGGACTTGGTCTAGTCTCATCGTTCGAGTCGACTTGGACAGATTGCTTCTGTGGTAGTGATGATCCGGCACTGCTCAATTCGCTGCTTGGGCCTCATACGAATTGGATGGTACATGTACTGATCTGCTGTAGCAGCAATGCAGCCTCGTCGTTTGTGGCTGGCCTGGATGAATTGCTTCTGTAATGCTAGTGATCCGACGCTCTTCGACTCGGTGCTCAATCTCCGCCGGAGTTGCAAGATTGTTTCAGTCCAGTCTCGTCGTTGTACCTGGCCGACGCTCGCTGCTTCATTTCCCGGAGATCCCGCGCATCCTCAGTTGTAGACCGCGTGTTGCGGCCTAGTTCCAGCGAGGGATTCCACAAACAGGCTGTTTCGATGCTCTTGAACAGGGTTCCGAAATAACCAAGAAGAAGACCCTCGCCAACGCTGTCCAAATGTAAGAACATCCATGCCGGCGACCACCAACAAACGTCAAGGACAAACTCCTGCTTCTTTCTGGCGAATTACAGTCCGACGCTGATGCACCATAATGGCCTAATCAGGACCGACATTCCCGTTGAAAATATTCCCTAAACGCCACGCCTGCGAGGAGGTTTGCAAAATCTTATCTTGAACTGATGCCGTGGCGGCGAGCGTCCTGCCAGGAACGATTCAAATCCATGAGGGTAGCCGCGTTGGTGCTTTAATGTCCACTTTATTAATGATCTCCCTCGGTGGTCCGCATGAGGAGAGTGTGCTCTTTGAACCCCATGCTTCTGCAACGAATAATCCTTGGACGCTCGAGAGGTTGCCTTAGGTCCGCCGCGTTCACAGGAGTCTGTGGAATCGGCATGGTGACTGCGAGTCAACAATTGGGACTGAATACAACATAAATCTGTATCGCAGGTCATTGAAATGGTGAACGAAGGTCCTATGCAGTAGCGTTCACGGAGCTGCTCCGTACGTTTTGATGATGCAGATTGTGTTTCCTCTCAAGGCCGCGGCGTATCCAAAACTCTGCTTCCACGATGAAGGCTGCATCGGTCGCAAGATTGTTCCAAGTTCTGGGTCGAGGCTTGTCGCTGCAGAGGCGTAGAGCAGTATAGAGCAGTATAGAGCAATCATGGGCCCGAAGTACGTATCTTCTGCAAGAGATGACATTAAAGACAATCGAATTGGCCCGCGGATGTCGTCCATCGCTGGATCGGGCCAGAGCAGATGTTCTTGCATCTTCATTCCGCCTCGAGCCTTTGCTTTTGTAACGAAATCCTTTCTGATGCCAGGAAGCTTCGTTTGGATACCTCTTGAACGAGACAAGGCTGTAAAGAGAGAAACGACGAAGCTGATCAGGCTGCAGATCATAAATACGACCAAGATTTGGCGTCTCCACGCGCTCACAAGTAAGGCAATGACGAGACGGGTCTGTAGAGCACTCGTCGCAGACACGCCAATATGCTCCTTGCCTTCGAGACCAGGTATTCGCTGCTCTTCCGATCGAATTTTGGCCTCATTGGAAAGCGGCTGAACCAAGACTGCCGCAATATATGAGAACGAGGATTCTCAGCGAATATGATGACCGTAAGACCAGAATGGGCTAAACCCGGGCCGTGGAAAGACTGCCGAGAAGAAGCCAGCGAGAGAAGTCGGAAAGCTTGAGGCGATTTCGGATCGAAGATACCCAACATGTAAGTTCCTCAGGAGGAATTAATCAGCAATCCGCTCTGCTCATCTAGATGACATAGTGAAATGTAATCGAGCAGGATACTGCTACTTTCGATTGACTGCCAACCCGGATATCCGTGTCACCGCTGTAGCGTGCTCGTACGGCTTCTTGAAAGTGGCTGTAGAGATGTCAATTGGCGCTTTACTCGAGAGATTTTTGGCTCGTAGGTGTCGCAGCCAGTGTAGAGATTGGGCATCTTGTATCGCAGGCCAGAAATGAGACCAAGAGAAATGGTTGCGGCGGAGAGAAGGAGCGACATGGACATAGTGGCTGGAATTTCAAGCCTTGCACAGACTCAATCTTGCAGTAGAGCTGGCAGACCAACTGCCTCTAAATCGTGGTCTTGTGAAGAAGTGGAAGAAATTGCCATCGCCTTACAGGTGCGCGACAGACAACACGAGCACTGCCTGCCATTACGGGCCTGTCGTCGCCAAAGGAGAAGCGTATGTATGCGAGACTTGGGCCAAAAAGACGATTCCAAAAAGCACTTGCCTTCGCATAATACTCATGTCCAAGAACTGGAGGTCTCGATCATGCTGTCGCTGCTCGCGAGGCGTCGTCTCGTGCGCAGAATACCAATCCCACTCGCGCAGCTGCCTTGCGAAAGAAATGCCCCAAAGCTGAACCTGATGTGCAACCAGGAAAGAAAAATGACAAAAAAAAGTAATCATCTCAAGCACTGAATGCGAGGAATTCAAGACATCTAGAGGAAGTGAGCGGTGATTCTCAGCGTGTAGAAGCTGAGAATCGAACGGTGTAGACCATCTAAGAAGAAGTTAGCATATGTTCTCAAAGTCACAACTCATACTCTCCCAACTCATCCCCGAGTATGATTGCGACGCGGCCAATGGGAGTAGGGCTAGTACTCCCATTGGCAGAAGGCCGTCAGATTCATGGCGCCTATCATAGCACACGCGGGAGGTCCCGTCTCCCGCAGCAATGGTGGACTTGCGCGTTCAAGCTGCATTTCCTCCACCGGAGCATTACACCACTCACGACCCATGACAGACAAATTTAGGTGGTGGAGCTTGTTCCGCAAAGGCAGAAGATCATCCTCATGTGCTCATTATGTCGCTGAAGAGTGGTTGGCCTGTCATGGAGGTGGTGGGCAGGAAACGCCGCGGAGGAGCGCCAAGACTCCGCAAGCTGAAGTTCGAGCCCCGGTCAGCGCCAGCAAAAGATGCGCCACCCATATCGCTACGATGTCATTTTAAAGCCTGCAATCGATTGGATTGAGCTTCAAACTCCTAGCGCCATTTTTGGCCGTTTGTAAACAGGCGTGGTTGAGGTGTGGATTGCGCGGTGCAAAAAGTTTCAGCTTGAAGCCCGGTGTTTGAAGCTCAAGAACGTGCCAAGCCAAGCTCATGAATTCAGCGTCTCGGAATGATGCGCAACCAAAACTGCTGCCATTATAATCTGTAGGCTGCGATCGATTTGATTGAGCTTCAAACTGACATCGCCAATTTTTTGCGAAGTGTAAACAGGCGTGGTTGTGGATCTTGATCGATAGGTGCAAAAAGATTCTGCTTGAAGCCTGATGTTCAAGCTCAAGAAAGTGCCAAGCCAAGCTCATGAATGCAGCGTCTCCAAATGATGTGCAACTAATACCACTGCAATGGCAATGTGCAAGCTGCGATCAATTGCATCTATCTCGAAAGAGTCTCCACGATTTTTTCGAGTCTAAGAATGGGCGTGGTGGAGAGTAATGGTGCGAATGGCGAAAAGATCATGGCTTCGAACCGAGGGCCGCTTTGAAGCTGAATGCCAAGGCCCAGCTCATCGATCTTTCCCGACCAAAAGTATCGACCACCACCACAGCAGAGGCAATGGGAATGCTGATCAATGTGTGCTGTTTCCGATGCCCTTTGCCATTTACGACCGGGGGCAGTAAGTCGTTCGGTCAACCTTTCCGCAAGCAGAAGGCTGCACTCCGAGTGCTGCTGAGCTGGCCAAGAGCCGTGCTTGTGGCAATATCTTGCTCGGCCAAGCAGTGCCTCTCGTAAGGGCAAAAAGAATGCCGTTTTGATGCAACGCAAGCGCTGGCAATTTGGCAGAGACAATGGCAGCCGATTGTTCCCGAAAGGCCAAAAAAAAGGGCTCGATCTCATAACCCCTCGGTGATCGAACTTGCGATCTTATGATGAGAGAGCACCGACTCGGAGCTAACTCATCTACCGAATGTTAGTCTGAACTGATAATGAGCGCTCTGAACTCAGCCACGCCGGACTGGCTCGCACGCTCGATCCAGTGGTGCCAATGGCTTATTGGTCACTGGATGTGGGGTTGCAATTTCATTGCGCTTAAGTAGGCACAGGCTTCGGCAAGCGGAGGTTCCCGACATCAGTGCGCTGGTAGTGGGGATTGCCAATCTGGAGGGACTGCCGCGTCTGGCAGAGCAGAGACCATCGTGCATGCAAGCATGTCGGCTGCGAGGATTGATAGGTGGAAGTTGGCAATGGTCCAGAGGAGATGAACAGATTCGGTCAGGGAAGAGGAGTGGAGCAGTAGTAGTCGAGAGAATGGCATGTTCGCGGCTTGTGACCGTCGACAGTGTTGGGAGCTGTTCCATGCTGATTTGCTTTGCCGTAGCTCATGAAGTCCAGATGTGCGAAGGTCTGGGAATGCTTGAACACTTTCATGGGAACCCCAATAGTTTTCCGAAGGTCTCGACGACACACCTAGGAATGGGAGTGGTGACATCCAAAGGAGGAGCCAGTATTTTGTAGCAGTGAGGACTGTCCGTGACAGTGGGACTGCTTCTGACATTGGGACTGTTTCTGAAAGCGATGCTGCTTGTGACAGCGAGACTGCTTGTGACAGCGGGACCGCTTGTGACAGCGAGACTGCTTCTAACAGTGAGACTACTTCCAACAGTGAAACTTCTTGTAGCATTGAAGGTCTCAAGGGTCGAATGCATCAAGTCCTTCTGAGGTGACGGGCATGTTCGGTTTCACCAAGTCTTCAAGAGCGCCATGGTTTCAATTAAAGCTCGTAACCAGAGCTTCCGAGGGATCCCGTTCCGAAACCCAGCATGGAGAAGTCATCATCACGTAGATTGGGAAAGACGGTGCCTGCTCAGGACCGGAAGAAGGGACTCCATGTGATCTCTTGCTTGCTTTTCCGCTCCCGCATGTCAAGAATCTTTTGCAAGTCATTCGCTGCTGGGACGAACCTGAATTTTTCCGATGGGAGGATTGACGAGAGGCCAGCACATCGTGCCGAGTATCAAGCAGTGTGTGGGGAGCAGAGGCAGCAGAGAGACAGCAGACGTTGTAATCCTGCAGACTCGCATCGGTGATTGTGTCGTGCCAAGTATCTTTCAGAGGCTGCTCCTCCGCTCACATGCCTGAGTCACAGACCAGGACGGGGTTTTGTGGCGAGGATTGCACGTTGTCGGCGCCAGTCGGGGTGTTGTCGATCTGGCAGTGTTATCTTGTCAAGCATTGTCGGCCTGATCGCTTGGGACTGTGGTCGTTCTGGTTAGATGCCCAAGCCGACTGTGTTGTGAGCAGCTCCGCCGTGTTGGGGTGGCGAGCGTGGTTGTAACTGATGGATGATGCTCCGTGGAGAGCCGTCCATTTGGAGGTTCTGTCATGGCGATCGGTGGCGAGTGTGAGCATAGCATCGAGGGCGATGGAGCATGCGTTGCGAGGGGCGCGTGGTTGTGGTGGTAGGCGCGGAAGGGGAAGATCGCGTCGGCGATGAGCCTGCCCCCGAAGGCTTGCACAGCAGCATAGCGCCTGCAGTGCCGACTCATGAGGAGGAGGAGGAAAAGCGTCTGTCGCTGCCCGTGATACATCACGAAGGAGTCGCGATGCCACCGTGGCATGGTACCTGTCTGTCCGCGGTCAAAATGTTCTCATGGCCGCCGAAGCGTGCCGACGCTCGCGGAGCCATCTGAGCGGCCATCTGACGGTCCCAACACCATGTGCAGCATACTGGGGAAGGAATGAATGCAATGAGTGCAATGGATGGCCACAAACACTCTTGAATGAGGTTAGCTACGGGAATAACACAGCAGAACAAGTGATGTTGCAACAAGCTCTGAACTCAGCGGGCGTTGCCGGCCTTTCCGAACCTCACTGCTCCCTCCGCTCCCTCGACCACTATGCTTCGGATCACATGTCTCGCTCATGCTTCAGGTCTTCGAAGACCGTGATGACTGACACGGTAAGGTCCAGCTCCCAGAATAGCGCTGTCCTGCGCTGTGATCATCGCTCTAGGCGTGGTCAAGCTGGTAGCATCCGATGCAACGCTCTTTCGACATGACCGAACCTCCACCAACACGATGCACCATCCGAACTCGAGCCGTATTACAGCACGTGTAAGACTAGCCCCTTCTGTGGGCTGTTCTGCCCTTGTTCAGCAGGATTAGCAAGTCGACGACAGGATAAGAGGCATTCTGGGTTGTTGTTCGGTTCTGGGGCGTCGCCGCCGCCGAGCCGCCGCCCGCGACATGGGACATGGGCGACCACAGCAGTTTCTGCCAGACAACAACGATATTTGGGCGATAAGGAGGGAATTGGCGGAGCAGACTGCCTCGCAAGCTGACTGGCGGCGTCGACTTCCCATTTGTCTCACAAGAGGAGGACAGAGATCGGAGATGCTGCGACCTTGGAACCCTTGCCATAGCACCTCGTGTTGACCTCGTGGGGTGGCAGCCGGGTTCTCCCAGCATGCCCAAAGAACTGGTGACCATCAGATGAGCGTCGTATAGAGCAGGCCATGTGCCGTGCTCACCTCACCGCCATTGACTCTGACTGAACAATATCTCCGTATGACCGCAGATCGTACCCGAGAGGCAGTGACAAGATGGACACTTCTGAGAAGCTCGCCAGCCAGACTGTGTACTCAGCGCACAGTCTCACCGGCAGAGATGTCGAAACGCACCAGATCAGACTGCAAGATGCCGACGAAGCTGCCAAATTCGTCGCTGGCTTCGATCGTGTTGTCACTGAAGAGGAGAGTCGTCGAGTAAAGAGAAAGATCGACTTACATTTGATGCCGCTGCTCATGGCTGTGTACTTCGTGCAGTTCCTGGACAAGACCACATTGGGCGCGTCTTCGATTCTTGGGCTGATCGAGGACAACAGCCTGTCGAAGAACCAATACAACTGGCTGGGCACAATATTTTACTTGGCATACCTGGTCTTCGAATGGCCGCAGAATCTTGGTCTCCAGCGATTTCCGCCCGCGAAGTGGATGGCCGGCAATATTTTGATCTGGGCTGTTGTGTTATGCACTACGGCAGCAGCCTCGAACTTTGCCGGACTTTTCATCTGTCGTCTGCTCATGGGTGCTTGCGAAGGTACCATTACTGCTGGGTTCATGATCTTGACCAGCATGTTCTATACACATGCTGAGACTATGCCACGATATTCATACTGGTCTTTGATGAATGCCGTGGCTTCGATCGTTTCTGGCTTGTTGTCATTCGGCGTATATCATGTTGACGAGAAGGTTATTGCTCCGTGGAAGCTGTTCTTCATTATCACTGGCGGTATTACTCTGTTCGTCGGCTTTTGCTTCTGGTACTTTGTTCCGGACAATCCAATGAAGGCAAGCTTCTTGACAAAGGAAGAGAAGCTCATCGCTATTGCTCGGCTCCGGAATCAAAGTACTGGTGTCGAGAACAAGACCTGGAAACGAGAACAGTTCATCGAAGCCTTGACTGACTGGAAGGTCTGGGCCTTCGCCATATATGGTGCCGTGAGCAATATCTCAAACTCGATGGGAAACATGACTGGCTTGATCATTGAATCGTTCGGCTTTACCACCGAGCAGACAACCTTGCTGAATTGTGTCAATGGTGTGATGGAGGGCGTGGCCATTCTTTCAGCCGTCTGGCTGTTCAAGAAGTATCCGAACTCCCGAGCATATCTCGGCGCTTGGTATGCCTTGCCCAACATCGTTTCAGGTATCCTCCTGGTTGCCTTGCCCTGGTCAGCTCAAGGTGCCCTGTTGTTCGCAATGTACATCAGCTTTTGGGGCGGTCCAGACTTCATCTTCGCAATGGCCTGGCTCATGGCCACTACTGCTGGGCACACAAAAAAGACGACTGCCAATGCCATGCTCTTCATCGGGTACTGTCTTGGCAATCTTCTCAGCCCCCAAATGTGGAGAGGGAAATATGCTCCGCGCTATTACCTTCCATGGGGTATCATCCTTGGTACGTATGTGGCCCGGCCAATCATGCTGCTCGTCATGCGGTACTACATGGTGAAAGAGAATCAGCGTCGTGATGCTCTGGGCCATGATAAGGTCGAAAAGTTCTTTGATGAGCATGGCCAAGAGGTCGATCCAACCTTCCTGGACATTACCGACAAGGAAAACATGGCATTCCGGTACCAATTATGAGCTTCTCTGGCGGCAACAGCTCCGTTGCAGCACGCCGTACAGCTATATCCAGTTGCGATATGCTTACCTTGGTCGCTGTCTCTTCGAGGAAGCTGTGATGGTAGCGTGAGCGTGCTGGAGGTTCACCAGCCTGCAGCATAGTGCGGCGCCGCTTCTTGCGCGCTGCTGCGGGCTTGGATATTGGAGGCATGGTTGTGCCTCTCGAACTCGAAACGAGGCAGTCGAGGTGCAGTCACGTATCTGCTCTTCACCTCCACCTCCATCTGAACTCGGATGCCCTGAGGCTGCGAACCGTGTGGGTCTTCTGTGAAGCAGCACAGGATGGTGGCGAGCGCGTGGGCGAGCGAAGTCGACATTTCGTCCATGTGTGTGAATGGTTCTTGGTGGTGTCTTTGCAGATGGCAATGCTTCTTGTACGCGGTTGTGTTGTTGGCAGCAGCGAGTTCGACTTCGCGGGCATCGTACGGGGAAGCCGCTGAAATCATGCTCAAATTCGCAGCCTTCAAGGAGAACAACTTCAGCAGCACGACACACCACCTACACACAAATCACAACGCTCTCTGAGAACTTTTCGTCTGAAGATCACCAATCGCGAGCAAAGGAGCACTGTTGAGAGAGCCATGTCGAAACCATTGGAAGGTGAGCACGAAGATGGCTTTGGCGCTGTTCACCGCCAGACAAGCCTTCGGTGCAGCAGCAAGGACTAAGCACATCTTTAGAACACCACACAAACACCGCGAAGATGACCAAAGCAGAGGTCTCCGGCGACAAAGAGGCCAGATTCATGCAGAAACTCTGGCAGGAGTGCTTCGCGAAGAAGCTGGTAGATGCTCCTGGGCCACCAAAGTCGAAGGAGGAGAAGCTGCGCGATGTCAAGAAGCGCCAGCAAGAGAAGAAGCAGAAGGCTCTCCGCAAGGAGAAGGAGGCGCTCGGTATGCTATAGAGACACAACGCGTCTACGGTCGCAGGTCACTGGGCTCGGTAGAAGAATCGATGGCAATGAGATGACAGTGGCTCTCGCGTCTGATCTCACATCCAACCATGAAAACACTTTGCTGCCGCTCACAATTGTCCTACTGTCTGTACTGTCCATGTCAGACCTGCTCAATGCTGCTTCCATTGCATGCAATGAGACTTAGCCGTACAGGCCTGCTTCCATGCACGGGAGGCTGCTCCTGTCTCATCGAAAGGACCAAGACCAGCAAGTTCTAGCAATGGGCTCGCTGTGATTCTGCTTCTATGTCCCACGAACGTCCATTGGCGCCATGTACGCATGCTATACTCTCGCCCTGGGACTCTGTCTGTGCATCGTGGCCCCGCTGGCTACAGGTCAACTGCAGCACTCTTTCGTCATGGAGACTCCAGCCAGCAATGAAACCTCGCTGTCATTGTCGTCTGCCGCCCTTGACAATAATCTCCATCCTCTGCACAATGCTAATGGAGCTATGACACCTTGCCATTGACCGTTATCTTCCAAGGGACCTCCTACGGCCATTCTGGATGCCTGTGACTGCCTTAACAATAGCGCTCATGATGCTTGCTGGCCAATACAATGCCGTTGCCGGAGCTTTGGCCAAGAGCGGTGTAGGTTCCTGCCAGACTTGTGTCCAAATTCCACCCTCACACCACCTACCTACCTACTATTGCGAACCTACCATTGGCCAGGCAGACAATCACCGGCCACAAAGTGAACTTGAGCGCGTGGTCAGTGCAATAGCTCTAGCAGACCCTGCATATCGCTGTCGCTGTCGCGAATGCGAGTATAGGTCGAGCCTCCTTTCTTGCAACCTCTTCCAAAAACATCCACCAACCCTCCACCACATTCCGGCATCCAAGCAGTTCCACACCTTCCATACCCATCCGACACTCATCCAAGCTTCCACAACACCATCACCATCATCACCGACATCATCAACAATGTCTGACGCAGGATCCAACCAAGAGTATCAGCCAGAGAAGGAGAAGCCAAAGCGCAAGTCCACCAAGGGTCGCAGCTTGGTTCGCTGGAACCGTATGTCTCCCTCCATGAACACTGTCACGAGCATCCACTGACCATGTCGCAGCCGACGAGGACCAGTTGGCGCTGCTCTGCGTCGAGTACATCGTCACCACCCAAGGCGTTCCGCTCGACTGGAATGAGGTCGCCAAAGTCCATTCCGACAACACCTCCGGCGAAGCAATCAAGCAGCACTTGTCCAAGCTGCGCAAGGCTCGCGAGGAGGCCGACCTTCTAGTTCCACCACCGATTGACCGCAAGTCCACTGCTGCTCGCAAGGCTCGCGGCCGCAAGCGCAAGGCTGAGACGATTCCCGAAGAGTACGATGGCGTTGACGATGCTCCTACTGCTGCCAAGCCAAAATCGACTTCCGTCAACAAGTCCGGCTCTCTCCTCTACAACAAGCCAAGCAAGCGTTCCATTAACTTCAAGGCCAAGAAGGCCGCTGCCGCTGCCGCCGCCAAGAAGGAGAAGGACGTCAAGAACGAGCCAAAATCTGAGTCCGACGCCACCGAGGAGGTCCCAGTCCCAGCCAAGAAGCCAAAAGGCAAGAAGAACCGCAGTGCCGGCCTTACCGATCTCCCTCCGGTCTCCTCCGCTCAGTCCTCCTTCGATAGCTCTGCTGTCTCCTCCGCTCCATCCTACTACTCCTTCGCTGCCTCCGATCAGACCACCGGCATCACTGTGCCACAGCAGAAGGTGGAGACATCCGAGCCCGAGCCCGCCATCATGGAGCAGCAGAACTTCGCCTACGCTCCTCTCGGCGATCCTTTCCTCGGCGCCGAGCTCCCAACCAGCATGCCCTACGACTATAGCATGGCTGGAGAGGCATTTCTGCCATCGTTCAGTGGACTTGCCACCACTCACACGAACGACCTCCGTCTCTTCACCGGCAGCTACGAGTCCGGCGAGTATTCCGGAGCTTACTTTGGCGGTGGAGTCCCAGAAGCACCGCGTCTTGACTGGTTGGGAGATTCTTTCCCTTCGGGTGAGCAGGGAGAGTTTGGTGAGACGGGAGGAGAGGACTACTCTCTCTTCTAGATTTGTAGTACAGAGAAGAAGCATTGAAAAGTCCTCTGGGAGGCATTCTGGCATGATTCTATAGGAGATAAGAAGTGGCCTTTTTGGGCTGGAATGTGAACTCTTGAAATGATTACGTATCCTGTTTCTTCTCCATTTCTCTGGGTAGTTACTGTGCTCGTGAGTTCCTTTTTCGGTGTGTGTGTGTGTCTGATATGCTTAGTGGAGATGGGTCTTATGTGACCTGTTGCGCGTTCACGTTTACCCATTTCTGTAGCTTCGCTTCGTTACTCGAGGTAATAGTACGCTCGTAAGTTCGTTTTTCGGTGCAGATGTGTCTAGTAAAGTAAGTGGAGATGGCTTTTGTATAACTCGTTATACGTTCACGTTTACCCATTTCTCTTTCCTCGCTTCGATACTCGAGGTAATAGTACGCACATAAGTTCGTTTTTCGGTGCAGATGTGTCTAGTAAAGTAAGTAGAGATAGCTTTCATATCACTCCTTGTGCGTTCACATTTACTTAGTCTTTAGCATTTCTGTATCCTCGCTTCGATACTCGAGGTAGTACTATACTCGTAAGTTCTTTTTTCGGGCTACCTGAAAATTTTAAAGATACGTAGAGATAGCCCTTAAGTAGACGATTGTTCGCTTATATAAAGCCGATTTTTAAGTATTCCTATATTCTCGCTCGGCCTAGGAATTACTACTACGCATTTAAGCTCTCTTTTAGGGCTGCCTATAATTTTAAAGGTACGTAGAGATAGCGGTAGAGTAGACGATCTTTTGCTAATATTAACCCGATTTTTAAAGATTTTTATATTCTCGCTCTAAGTAGGGATTAGTACTACGTATTCGAGCTCCCTTTTCGTATTGTCTAGAATTTTAAAGGTACTTAGAGAGGGTACTCGCGTGCACGATCGTCTATTTATACTAATAAATTGCTATACTCTTTCTCTGCTTGCAGGGGTGTTACTACGCACTTAAATTCTCTTTTCGATATAGCTACGTCGGAGAAGGTATATAGAGATAGTATAGGCGTAGACTCTTGTTCGTTTAACTCCCTGCGATATTTCAGCAATTTTAGGATTTAGCTCGGACAAAACAAGGCTTCTCAGCCCTCGATGTCGTTTTGCAAGGAACTTATGCCTAGCGAAGCAGATAGAGATAGTAGTCCGGTAGAATCTTGTTCGCTTACCTCCCTAGAATATTTCAGCATTTTCAGGACTCACCTCCGATAAAACAAGGCTTCTTAGCACTCCGGGCGTTTTGCAAAGAACTCGTGCCTAGCAAAGTAGGCAGAGACAGTCTTTGGGTGGACTCTGGTTTGTCCACTTCTATGAGGTTTTCGGCATTTCTTAGGGTCGATTCCGACAAGACGGAGGTTTCTCAGCCCCCCGTGTGTATTGCGAGCTCTTCATGTCTTAAAAAAAGGTAGAGATAGTCTTCGGGTGGACTCTGGTTTGTCCACTTCTATGAGGTTTCCCGCATTTATTGGGCCTCGACTCCGATAAGAAGGGGTTTCTCAGCTGTCTATATCTATTGCGAGCTCCTCATGGTTTGGAAAAAAAATTGCAGAGATGGCGGTTAGGTGGAATACTCGTAGTTGCTTACTTCGATTGAATTTCAGGATTCTTTACAGTTCAGCTCCCAAAAATCGAAGGTTGTAAGGCTTCCAGATCATTTCGCGAGGTACCTTACCTCGAATAATGAGTCGAGATGGCCTCTAGATAGGCCGAAACTTGTCCAATTTTCTGCGATTCCCAGAACGACTTCCATAAATTGCGCGTTCTCCGTGTTATTCTGCGAGTCACTTGTGCTTTCAATTTCATTTGCTGAGATGGGAGCGCTTACGTGGTACAGCACCGCCGTTATTGCCGTGTCCCAAAGTTCGAAAAGGTTGTCCTCTTGGCAGAGTTATATCGCCTTCGAAGCGTGGTGCTAGCGCGTCCGCAGCTGGGCGTCGTGAATCATCTGCGTGAACGTCTCTCGCGGCAAGAGAGTCTCCGTGCGAGGTGTTTGGTGGTGTGTTCTAGGCGGCTGAAGCAGCGGCTACTCTCGCCGTTGCTTCGGCGAAGTTGATTTCTCTGGCAAGTCCGGTATTGTCGTCAAGTCTGTGGCGGGTAGCTAGGATGAGGAATTTCGCGTAAGTTAGTGCTCGTCCACTTTGTCCCGATTTGTAATCGTTTTCGAGCTTCGACTCTGAGGCATTATGTATAGCCGAGCTCTTCAGCATCTATGCTTCCAACCATGTTTCGAGAAAGCCTTCGAGAAAACTCCTGTTCATCTGCCTTCTTGTGGTTTTAGCATTTCTATGCCTCGACTCCTAGACATAAGGTGTTTCAGAGCCCTCCAGTTCCGCCGGCGAGGCATTTGTACCGTGGACTATATCTCGAGAAGGCCATACAGTTGACCGAGACTTGTCCAAATTTGCTTGGATTTCAACGGGCTTTCGAGCTTCAGCTCCAGTAGGCAGGCGGGACTAAGCTCTTCGCGTTCTTTGAGAAGCATTCGCGTTTTCGATTACGTCTCGAAATAGCATCAAAGTAGACCATCGCTTGCTAACCTCCACCTGGTTGATTTTTGGAGGTTTGAGCTTCGACTCTGAGGAAGCGGGCTAGACTGAGCTCTTCGCGTTCTTTTGCAAGGTTTCTGAACTCTGGCCAAAGTAGTGCTCTGGTGGCATTCCACACGCCCACACTCTCTAAAATCTCCAAGCTTCGGCTACAGGTAGTTGGCTGGGATCGAGCTCTCCGCTTATTCTTGCAACCCACTTGTGCTTGCGATTGTAGTTCGAGATGGCCCATATGTGGAGTATTGTTCGCTGACATTCACGCGACCTTTTGTGATGTTCGAGCATCGACTCCATGGAGCCAAGCCGGACTGAGCTCTTCGCATTCTTTGTGAGGTACTGGTAATTTGGACCTTGTCTCGAGATGGTTCTTTGCAATACGAGCATATCGTCCTGGCTTCTGCGCTTCTTGAGCCTCGACTCTGGTCGTGCTTTGACCTCCTTTCGGAGAGACTTGCGTTCTCATAGCCTGTTCGCAGTGCTGCTAGCCTTCTGCGAAACCAGGTATTGTGCTCAAGGATGAGGAGGTGTTGATGGCTGAAGGTGTTGTCACTTGCCAAGCCTTGCCTCGTGTTCGTGTTCGTGTTCGTGTTCGGTTGCTAATGCTTTCCTTGGCCTTTCCGACTTGTACTGTATTGCAATCTTAGCCATTTGCTTGAACGACAAAGGACTTCGCGCCTTGCTGAAATATCGCCACGTCTGAGCCGCGCTTGGGGATACCATACAATATGAGGGTTAAACTTTTGGATGCAGCTGTTGAGTCCATTCCCATTGCCAAACGCGATCTGTGAGTCGCGTATTCATGACGACTTGCTCGCCCGCGATCGCGCGCTGGTCACCAGGGCAATAGAAAAAGCCGGAGAGCTGTAGCCAATCGACTTGATATCATTTGGGTCAAGGACGGCAATGGACGGCCGAGATGAGCTGAAGCATATTGGCGACATATGAAGGCGGATGAGCCAGGGAAAAGACGTTTCCATATCGCCAACAACGCATTTGCAACAAGTCAGAGTAGTATTCCTGCAGGCTCCCAAAAGTGAACCAGAAATGACGATACAAGCATGTCTTCTGGCACCAGGACGTAACTAATCACGTGCTGCAGTAACGGTAGCCTTGGAGCAGCCCTGTCACTCGCCTAGCTCTCCCTTTCACGCCAAAGGCCATAAGTAGGATCTTTGCCTCGGCATTTCCAGCGCTGCGATGCGACTGAAGCATATGCACAGAACCAGGATACTTGGGCGAAGACGTGTCCACTATGATTCACGCGAAAGCACAGAAGCCATTCAGCGCTCTGCAGACACGGCGGATCTATGACAAGGCGTATCATGACAGGTCCATGTCTATGCTTTACACCAGCAGAATGTATGAATATGTTAATCAAGAACGCGAGAGCTTCATTAGTCCCGGGTCGTCTTGGCGACACATGTCTTACAGCAGTGAGGCGCAGCCGAAACCGATTTGTATAGAAGCAGCTTCTAAATGGAACGAAGGCACAAGAAGGACTCGCGGAAGGCATTTTGATTCTTAGCATTGCATGCCCATTGCAATACCTTCGACGATGATACAAAATAGCATAACACAAGTATACAACAACAAGCATACCCAAAACCCATCCAACCGGCTCAATTACCCGTTTCCTATCGGTTCCCACTATC